AGCGGGGAGCGCCCCTTCCAGTGCAGCGTCTGCCACAAGGGTTTTATCACCTTCAGCAACCTCTCCCGCCACCTCAAACTGCACCGCGGTATCGACTAGCGGGGCAGAGCCGCTGCCCGCTCGCCCCGCTGGCTTGGCAACCATCTGGCTTCTTGTTGTAGGGTCACTCGTAAGCACTGAGCTACGCAGATCAGTTTGTTATTGTAGGGCCTCTCTGTATGCAATGGTTTATTTTTGTAGGGTCACTCATGAATGCTGGGCTGCACAGATACGTTTGTTATTGTAGGGTCTCTTGGCACGCACTGGTTTGTTACTGTAGGGTCTCTTGGCACAAGCTGATAAATCTAAGGTCACTCTTGAGTGCTGGGGTGCACAGATCGGTTGGTTATTGTAGGGTCTTTGTGCCGGTTTGTTTTGGTAGGGTCTGGTTACAAGGGGCAGTCTATTGTTGTCAGGTTACTCATGAGCACTGGACTGCACAAGCCAGTTTGCTGTTGCCCTATTGCTGGGTTGCACACAGCGGTTTGTTATTCAAGGGTCTCGTTGTCCATGCGTCAGAGGGGTCACTGTGTTAGTCTGTTTCAGCAAAAACAACAAGGAGGCCAGTGGCACTTTTAAAGACTAACCCATTTGTTATTGTGCACGCTGGATTGTTATTGTAGGGTCTCTCCTGAGTGCAGGACTGCATACGCTGCTTTGTTATTGTAGGGTCTCTTCTAGGTGCTGGACTGCACATGCTGGTTTATTATTGTAGGGTCTCCTTACATATAATGACTTGTCAGTGTCCGGTCCCTCATCAGCTGGGCATTATACAGAGAAATTGCTATCAGAGGGCACTGGGACTCCGCAGGCCAGTTTGTTATTGTAGGGTCTTTTCAAAGTGCTTCGGCTGCTGTGTGCCCTAGGCTGATGATCGGGGGTTTACTGCGGCCTTGCCATCTCCTCCAAGGTCCAGAAGGGCCAGCAGTGGCTTAGAATGAATATACCTAGGGGTTCTGCACTGAGGTTTCTGACTCCCCCGGCCTGGACCACCCGGCATCCCTGTTGGGGGTCTGTGGGCCCAGCGTGACCTTGGCACTGCCCCGGCCTGGACCACCCGGCATCCCTGTTGGGGGTCTGTGGGCCCAGCGTGACCTTGGCACTGCCCCGGCCTGGACCACCCGGCATCCCTGTTGGGGGTCTGTGGGCCCAGCGTGACCTTGGCACTGCCCCGGCCTGGACCACCCGGCATCCCTGTTGGGGGTCTGTGGGCCCAGCGTGACCTTGGCACTGCCCCGGCCTGGACCACCCGGCATCCCTGTTGGGGGTCTGTGGGCCCAGAGTGACCTCGGGGTCTCCATACACTGAGGGACATAGTATCTCCTCACTGCTATTTCTTCCTGCTCAGTGGTTTTGCTCCAGGTGCCCCATCTCTCCACTGTGACCCCCGGTCAGGGACCATCTCTCATCAGTTCACACCAATGGGGTGGGGTGGAGGAGAAGGGGGGAGCTGGCCAATTGACACCAGCAGAGGGTCTGGGCCCAGTGACTCCATGGAGCTACACCTGATTTATACCAGTTTGTGACGCTATTCTACCCTAGGGAAAGTAGAAAATTGAGGCCACAAAGGGAATTGTAAGGCTGAAGGCTGCCCCAGAAACTAGGTGAGGCCTTTAACACACAGACCCAATTGGAGCAGAAGGATCCTACATGCAGGGTTCCCTCTAATTTCTCCCATCCATGGGCAGAATACATTTTGTTCTGTGCACTGAGGCATGTGCAGATGTGCACCACCAAAAACACCTACTGCCGGCTGTGGGCGCTCTGCTAATCAGCTGGGCTGAGTCTCTCCTGGGTGGCTGCCCAAGTGCTCAGCTTCCAGGGAACATTGCTACCTCCATGTTGCCATTCAGCCTTAGTGGAGGCACTGGCTTGTATCCCACTGCTGACACCAGTGATGGCGAAGACTCCCACACATCCACACACATCCTGGTCTGTGCTGGTGACTGGAGAACCAGCAAGTCTGTACGCTCAGCGCTAGCCCTGCCTGTCTCCTCTGAGCCTTGAGCACGGTTGTGCTAGTCATTTGAATTTGGAACAGAAACGACTGCGAAATGTGAGGGGTGTCACGTGCCCCTCCCCCACATTCCTCATGCCCTTTCAGATGGCTACATCCTTGAAAAGATGCTTCTCTCCCAATGCACATTGGTGTGTTATTGTAGGGTCTCTTGGTTGTGTATTCCACACCCTTCAGTTATTGTAGGGTCTCTAACAAATGCCCAAGATTACGCTTGCTATTGTAGATTCTCTCAGCAGTGCTGGGGCTACGCACACCTCTTCGTTATTGTAGGGCCTCTTTTCTGTGTGGTGGGTCACGCTTGTTATTGTAGGGTCATTTGCAGACGTTGCTGTTTTAGCACCACAGGGAAATCCCGGTGCTGCAGGTGCTGGTGTATTATTGTAGGGTCTCTCATAAACACTTCGGTGTGCTGTTGTGAAGTCACTGTTGGATGCAGGGCTGCAGCCGCTCGGGCTTGCTATTGTCGGGGTCTCATCCATGCTGGGCCGCACACATCAGCCTGTTCTCGTGTTTCACAGGAACGCACTCGGCGGAGGCTTTGCTCAGTTACAGAAGGGACCCGGGGCTGGTGCTGAGGGGAGGAGAGAGACACTGGGCCTCCCCTATCCCTTAGCTGAATGGGGAATCCCTGCGTGTGATATCTCGCCGTGGCACTAACTCGGGTTCCCAAGAGCCAGATCGCTGTGTTAAAGAATCCTTTTTGTTTGTTTGTTTAAAATAGTTCCCCCCCCCCACTGTTGGTAAAAATATCCCCCAATCTCGCCTGCTGAGAGCTCGACACTGAAAAACAAGGAAATAAAAAACTTTCCCCCTCCTGATCAAGTCCCGGCTTTTATTTCTTAGGGATGCCCAAAGCTGGGGAGGACATGGGAGACGGGTGCAGGCCCTTCCTGAGGTGTCTGCTCCTTGTTCTTTGGGTCAGCAAATCCAGTCAGATCCCCTCCGCCAGCCATCTTGCTGGTTAGCTTACGGAGAAGATGATTGAGTGGCCGTTTGGTTATGTTTTTCTTCTGGGAGGAAAAAACACCCTTGAAATGGGGCGGTCTGTGCCCTTTAAAGGGACCTGTGCACAGCCACGCCCTTGCATGGCTTGGGTCTAGAAATGTTGATTTCATTTGGGGCAGGGATAGCTCAGTGGTTTGAGCATTGGCCTGCTAAACTCAGGGTTGTGAGTTCAATCCCTGTAGAGGCCATTTGGGGCAAAAATTCATCAGGGATAGTACTTGGTCCTCCTGTGAAGGCAGCAGACGGGACTCAGTGATCTTTCAAGGTCCATTCTAGGAGATAGGCAATCTCCATTAATTTAAAAACCCCTTTTAGATCCCAATTTGGGGCGCAGGGCACATTCCACGGACTTTGTTTATTTACAAAGTCCCGCTTCGCCGTACGCAGGGAGACCACAAATGGCAGGCTGCCTCCGAGCCAACTCCTTGGTGGCTCTCCATCCTGTACCGTGCTCGGCTGGCTTGCTTCCCCAACTTTCGGGCCTCCTCTCGGCCTCCTGTGGCATACAGCCAATGGTGATACACCGGTGCATGCTTGGCTGCTGGTATTGGCACTGCAGGTTGGCACACCGGGAGTCCATGCCCAGCGTGATGCCAGGGGCCCCCTTTCAGATCGGGGGGGGGCAACCTGTGCATGTCGTGATGGGGGAGGGAGTGAGAGCGTGGGGCACGGGACATATGCTGTAACTCAGTGCAAGCCAAGCACCAAAGGGGGATGGAAATCAATCCCATTCCTCCTTTCCCCCATCACCTGTATCAGGGCTGCTAAGGCACTGGAAAACCCTACTTTATTTGGCAGACAACTCAGCTTACAGGAGCGCTGTATCTAATCTCTCTGGCTTCATAGTTGTTGAAATAGCCAGAGCTAATGATACCAAAAGAAAGATATGAAATACATTAGTTCAAAATGCACCAAGGGAAATGAATAGTGATAGAGAGGTAGATGTGTTAGTCTGATCTTGCTAAAACAAAAAAAGCAGTCATGTAGCACTTTAAAGACTAACAAGATAGTTTATTAGGTGATGAGCTTTCGTGGGGCAGACCCACTTCAGAATATAATCTGCTTTTTTTGTGGAATCATAGAAGTTAGAGTTACAATGAAAAAAATATGCCTTTTCTCATTCTTCCACTCAGCTGGTGCAGAGTTTTTCCACACAGTATATCATTTAAATATACTGAATCAAAGTCTAAACTAAAATTTATGTTAGCTATTTCTAAAGTGCTTACTGTCTTCCTAAAAGTAAGCATCAAAACAAGATTATCCAGCTATTATATTATATCGCCTCCCTCTTCACCCACCAATTTGGTAATTCTCTTGCGCAAGAAGCTGCGCGTGTAGACTTGGCCTATGAGTTTTTCCACAAGAGACAATGCAAATGACGTGCAGATTAGCACTTTCCCGCACTTCATTTGCATGCTCTCTTCCATTTCGTTTTTGCGCAAAAACGGGCAGTGTGGCCGTGGCCGTTTTGCGCAAAAAACCCTTTTTCTGCAAGATCCTTATGCCTGTCCCGGAGGGGACATGCGGCCTGGTTTTGCACAAAAACCCCTAGCGCAAAAACGGAACGAAAGAGTATGCAAATGAAGTGTGGGAAAATGCTAATCCGCACTTCATTTGCATCCCTCTTGCGGGAAAAACTCATCGTGTAGACAAAGTATATATATTGAGAAAAGGTTTTCCTGCGTGACAACAGAGGGGCATCATCCAGGCACTCTGTGTCCTGCTTGCTGCCTCCTCTCCCAGCTCGACCTCGCTGCTTCCCCTCGCCACTTGGAATTGGTATTTTAAACCAAGCCCCTGCTCCCCTTCCTCCACTCCCCACCCCATCCCCCGACAGGGCTTTCAGGGCCAAGGCATGTGGCACAGCAACCGGCAGACCCCACATCGCAGCCGTGACAGCCCGGGGAGGGGTGCGGCACTCAGGACAGCAGCCCGGGGACAGGCACTAGGAGCAGGGCTCCCCCGGGGCTTATGTGCCAGCAGCCGGCTCTTGCGGGCTCCACCAGGCTTTTGGGGCGTGAAAAAGATCCAGGCTCCACTGGCAACACAATGTCCTAAAGTTCCACCTAATATTTCCCTTCCTGCCTGTTCCCCAGCCCCAGTGGCCCTCTTGCGGGCTCCACCAGGCTTTTGGGGCGTGAAAAAGATCCAGGCTCCACTGGCAACACAATGTCCTAAAGTTCCACCTAATATTTCCCTTCCTGCCTGTTACCCGGCCCCAGTGGCCTCCCAGAGAGGGGAGGGAACTCAGGAGTGCGGGCTCCCCCCCTCCGCTCTAACCACTAGCCCAC